CTATTCTCCCAACGAACCAGCAGTGACCTCAGCGGCCCTGCTTGGTTGGCACACATCTCACTTTTGCCTCCGTGCTGACCTTGAAGTTGTAGTCTGACAGTCTGGCTATTATTCACCAACATCTTGGCAAGGTTCCAGCCCAAGGTTCAGATCGATGCTGGTACCAAACATGGATGCTTCCAAACTGGAAACTTCAACTAAAGAAAGAAAATTCCAAGTTGTTTCAGATGAGATGAGTGCCCCGAAGAGTTGTCAGTGGTCTCACGCCCACACATGCATTCCGTAGCCCCACCAGGTAGTCTTGAAGGGGCATCTGAGGATTCTTCAGGAGCCTGGAACTCCAACTTACTCCAAGTCTCAGGGGGTATGGATGGCAGGACGAAGAGATGTTGTTTTACAAAAAGGTCTCTAACGTTAGAACTGGATGAGATCTGAATTGTGGCTTTGCTCTTTACCAGTGTGGGACACTGAGGAAGTTTTTTGATTTTGCTAAACCCCAGTTTTCTCTATCAGTAGGATAACTGTTCAGTGATGTTTATGTTTACCTCTTAGGAGTTGTGAGAAATGAGTGAGACAATGAATGTATTATTTAGCATAAATACCAAAGTTTTCAGTGGACTTTTGTATTGTAAAAAACAGTGCAGAAATTATGGGGATTATTTTATTCTGCTTTATGACTGTACTGTCTATGGAAAGGATTCATTGAGGAAGACTTGACCAAATGGTTGTGTGAATCTTCTGGACTTCCCTGTGCTGTGAGGCTAGTTCCTCTATCAGGAGGGAGGGACTGAAGTCCTAGGGGTCAGCTGCAGAGGGGACGAATGAATCCCTCTGCGGACACCCATGCCATTCCCCATCCAAAGGCTCCCTGTTGCCTGGCTCTACGTTGGGCTGTCCCCTGGGGCCACGCAAAGACTTTAGATATGGGGACAGGAGAGAAGAAGGTGCGACTCGGGTTACGGAGAGACGGCCTACATTTCAGCCCCTTATTCAGTGCCCTCTAAGTTGACAAACTTCTCGCCCAGGGAACTCTCTGTGAGTCCGGTTGGGGTGCACAATAGGGGCAGTGTGGGCTGACCAGGCGGGGAGGGTGAGCACGAACAAGAGGGTGTGTGTCTTCGGGGGAGAAATACATCCCTGACAGATTAGGCAGGAGGCGTGGAGTACACAGAAAGCCACAAATTGCCGGTGATGGAACTGTGAGCAGTTAACGACGGTGTGCGGTAACGACACTGACAAGGATGTTTGAAAGGTAGAAGCAGGCTTTGTTTCACACCCAACGTTCCCATTAGACTTCCTTCCATCTCTGCTCCCGTGCAGCGGAGCGCGCTTCCTTCAGGCGCCTCTCAGAGGAGGCTCAGGGTGGCCGGGCTGTGCCTCCTCCTGCAGCGGCAGCTGGGACCGGAAATACTTCCCAGATCATTTCTTTACTCTGAGGACAGGGGGCTGCAATGCCAGAAGAGACAAGTAGTTCACGTCTACCTCTTTTTACACTGTTGCCAACCAATCCCCACGGTTTGATGAAGTGTAATTAACATGTATATGGGTTAAAGTTTTATTTTATTGTGTATCATGCATAGTGTCTCCATGTCAAAAGCAATTCCCACCCTTTCTTTGCAATACTTGGTGGGAATTAATCATCAGTTCTGGATGACTCGGGGGGATTAGGGAATGATTCTGTATAGAAGTGGACATGCTCAGATAAAATACATTAGAAAACGCCTGGCTGGTGGGCTCACTGGTTGAGCATTGACCCCTGCACCAAGAGGTCGCCGGTTCTATTCCCAGTCAGGGCGCATGCCCAGGTTGTGGGCCCGATCCCCAGTGGGGGGCATGCAGGAGGCCACCAATCGATGTTCTCTCTCATTGATGTTTATATCTCCCTCTCCCTTCCTCTCTAAAATCAATAAAGAAAAAATATTTTTAAAAAATACACTAGGAAAAATGTGCAATCTAAGGAACAGCTCAAGGAAACCTCTTCTAGACATTACTGTCTTTCTAGTTTCACAGTATATCTAATTCCCTTTAATAATACCCTTTACATAAACATTTTATAAATTTTGGGGGGCAGGAGAGAAGAAGGCAGGAGAGGGACTGTCACAGTGAACACAACAGTGACGAGTGATGACAGCTGTCACACGCGTGGGGTCCTCATCATACAACACGAACAAGGTGAAGGCAGGGCACTTGACCCAGACTATTTTAACCCTCATGGCTTAGCACAAAGTCGGAACTTAGTGGATGTTTCGGATGATTTTATAATGCAAGAAATCGCTGGCTTGGCTTCTTACAAGTGCAATCTTGTACCCAAAGATATTTACAGGTTAAGAATGCAGGACTGCCAGTTTGCAGTGGCAGTTTTTAAATCCTGTAGTTAAAAAAAAAATGTACGTGATTGTTTCCCAAACAGAGTCTCTCTGAGCTGCTGGCCAGGTGATGCTCCCCTCTCCAGAACGGCTGGGAAGACGAAGCCAGAGCGTTGAGAAGTCATGGCAGGAAGGCTCCCCTCAACCTTCCAAATTACACCTTTCATCCGGAGTCCTCACCCAGCTGTCCCCGAAGGAGGCGGACACAGGGCTGCGCAGCATGGGCTCAGTCTAGGGAGGAGGACTCAGGACAAGCCTGGCGGCAGGAGGCAAGGGGCAGCAGAGCTCAGAGCAGGAGGGGAGAAATCTCTTCCTCAAAGGTGCTCTATACTCAGATGACCCTGCTCTTAAGTTGAGTGAGTTTTCAGTGTTAAAATCATGTATGAATTGCTACAGCAGTACAATTAAGAGAATCCAGAAACCTAGATATACTAGCAGAAGAAAATGATTCGGGCAGATTATGATGAGGAGCGGCCAAGGGACGTGCTCTGTCACATACAGGAAAGCTCGTGGCCAAGCTCACGTGGTCTTAGGTCAAGTACTGACATCCCCTTAAGTTTCATTGAAATTATATAGAAATTTTTAAGAAGATTTTTAGTTTTAAATAATATCATGCAATAAAATGGTTATTCATATGAAAGTTGATTTTTAATCAAACTACAATAAAAAGTTTAGGTACAGATATATAAGATTCATTCTTTAAATGATGAATTAAAAACATGGTCAATTATGGTCCATGATACTAGGAAAGAAGTTAAAAGAATAATCACCATATGGAAAAAAATTGGCATTGTCATGCACTGGCCACAGCAGGCCTTCCTGGAGGGTAATCCGGTCACATGTGCTAGAAATCTCAAAATTATACTGACCTCTAACCCAACGGTCTTACATTTACAAACTTACCCCATGTAAGTACCCAATGAGGCATGTGAGAAGATTTAGGTATAAAGACAGTTAATTTTGGAAATTATTTATAATTGCAAACTGTGAGAACGAGCCGAATGTCAGGGCAGGGAAGTAATTTGATGACGTCCACAGCGATGGAGCCCCGGGCGGCCAGTACGAGTGAGGCCGTAGTTGCCGACAAACACCGAGTGACCTGGGGAGATGCCCGTGATTAGTGCCACACAAAACAAGCGGCTCACAGAACATTTTCACTGTGACCTCCTAAAGTATACACAGAGCACCTTCAGAGGACCCAAAACAACCTATACCAGAGTATTAGTGAATAATTTTATTTTATTTGTTTAATTTCCCAAACTTCTGAAGTATTCTTCAGTGTATCTCTATTCCTTTGTAATCAGAAAAATACAGTAAAAAACATGGTGTGTTGCATTATTTATACATAGTCAAGACAGAGAGATTGTGTCAAAGTCCATCTAAACAACAATCTAAAATTTTAGGAGAATACCTGGACAGTGAAATACCTTTATTTCTTGGAATGGCTTATTCCACTTATTGGTAACTGTCATTGTTCAACACTATATACTCTTTTGCTCTTAATAATGTACATGTAGTTAAAGGTATGTCATATCCAAGTAGCTTCTAAATATTTATATGTTGACAGAAGAGACATCGGCTGCTTGGACATCCTTACTAAAGAGATAGACAGTAACTCATGGAACAGAACAGGCCCCATCTTCCCATGCCTCCCTCCACAGGTCCCTGCTGGACAGTGGGGGGCAGAGGGGCAGCCAGGTCCCCTTATAAAGAAGTACACAAGGGGAGTCCCAGGCAGTGAGGGGATCCCACGGAGGTATGCCCTTCCATGGGGACAGAGTGGACCTGAGGTCGAGAAGCGGAGGGACCCGTACAGGCCCCCAGCTGCGTGCAGTGCCGGGGCCAGGGGCAGCGTAGACTCCAGAGACAGGCAGAGAGCGGTGCCCGTGCATCGTTTATGAGACTCCAGGAACAGCACTTTCCTCTTCCCCTGCTGCCAAGAGTTTGGATTTATCTTGTCGTACTTGGTGCTTTTCACCCACGGTAGTTATTGAGAGTCCGTTATACTGACTGCTGGGACAGATATAAAGATGAGAGTAATGAGACCCCTGCCCTCAGACACCTACAATCTAGTCAGGCTGAATGGCAAAGCCTCAAACAATAATATAGATCATATTAAAAGAGGCTACATGTTCCTTTCATCTCTCTGAATCTCCCTCAGTGCCTGGCAGAAAGGTACTGACATGTGAAATGCCGGCATCCTTTGATGCCATCTCAATGATTTACTGCTTCAAAAGATATCCAGTATTTTCCATTTTATTATACCTAGCATTTTCCTGACATGAAGAATATTTGCCTTAATAATTGCCTTATATAATTCAAAATTATATAATCTCACTATTCATTTAATTAATCAAACATTTTATGCCAGTTATGTGCTTCAACAGGCGACTAGGTATAAAACCCCTCTAGCAATGTTAAACCCAAACCCAGCAACAGCTAATAAAAACTTCTTGTCTTCCATCCATTTTACTTGGTTCTTTCGCCAAAGCTGAATGATATACATAAGTGAACACCCTTCCCCACCCCAAACACACAATTCAACATAATCTTTCTGGGCTGAGTAGAAAAAAGTATACAATACATACACACCTCCTTTTTTACTTGCTTGAGACAACACAGACATTTAGTTATTCACACATCGTTGAATTCATTTGGATCTTTGAATATGTGGGCTTCAAATTCCATCTGGCTCTGTAAAACAAAACTGCTCAAATTAGGACAGACTTCCAAAAAAGAACAAAACAAAACATTCGGTATGTGTCCTTTGAAGAGACACAAGATAACACAGGAAGAATGGGAATCGAGACCTTGCGATACTCCTGCATTTTCTGTTCACTACAGATGGTGACAATACAGACTATATTCCAAGCACAATACTTGGTGTGGGGTCACCAAGATGAGCCAGACTGCATGACCCAGCTCTCCGCGAGCCTCCAGCCCAGTTCAGAAACTGATGAGCTTAACCCACTGAGTGAGGACTGCAGCAAAGGAAAATCACAGCAGACTCTGGGGGCCAGGAGCACGGAGGGGATGACAGCCAGGCTGTGGCAGGGGTGGCGGTGGCGGAGATGCTTCCTAGAGCAGGAGAAGCTGGCCTGACAACTGGGGGTGGAGAAGGAATGTGGTCCAGTAAGATAAGAACCGAAAAGCTGAATGCTTGGGATTTGTTAACAGGGAGGGTGTGAGGACCTCAGCAAGAGCAGGTTAGGTGTGGAGAGGAAAGCGCAGTGGTAGTGAAGGTCACAAACATGGACAATTTTTTCAAGAACTTGACTTGTAAAAGAAAGAAAGCCGTTGGACAGGAAATAGAAGCAGGTGTGACATTAAGGTAAGAGCTCCCCTTTTCTTACTTTTCTTCCTTCCTCCTTATCTCTTTCGTTTTCTCCCTCCTTTCAAATCCTTCTACCACTCTTTTCTTTTGCAGATGGGACAGGTTTAGACCTGTTTAAATCCTGATAAGATTTTAATGGTGAGAGAAGAAGGTAAAGACAGAGGGTAAAAGCCATGGCCAGGTTAGCTCAGCAGTTAGTGTCAGCCTGCAGACCAATGAGACTGGGTTCGGTTACGGTCAAGGGCACCCTGGCCCAGGTTGCAGTTCATCCCTGGCCCTGGCCATGTCATGTGACACGAAGGCAACCAGTCGATGTGGCTCTATCGTATCGATGATTCTCTCTGTTTTTCTCTCTCTCCCTCCCTCCCCCTCTATCTGATGATAAATAAAAAAATATCCTCAGGCAAGGAATAAATACAAAAGATATAGGGTAAAAGTTATCAGGCACTTCTGAGATCTATTCATCCATCCACCCATCTATCCATCCATCCATCCACTGAACATTTTCAATGCACCTTCCATGTACTTCACACATTTTATGGGGAAATAAGGTGGAAACAAGACCAAGTTCCCATCCTCAGGGAGCTTATAGCTATACAGTGAGAGAGACAACAAGTAAATGAGTCAATATAGTCTATGCAATGATGAGAATTATGAAGTAAAAAGAAGCAAGATTACAGGATGAGGGAAGGGGTAGTTAAGATGGTCAATAGTATTGGTGCACACTGAGGAAACAGCATTTAAATAGAGACTGAATGAGATGAGAGTCTGAGGCAGGTGAAGGTCTGTGGAAAGGGTGTTCTAGACAGAGCTACAGGAAATGGAAAAGGACCTCAAGAGGAACAGCTAGGTGGCTGGGGTAGCTCCAGGGGTGAGAGAGATTAGGAGATAGCACAATAGGTGGTTGGAGAGAGAGAAAGGGACCGCTGTAAGAACATCAGAATCCAAGGAGGGGTTTTGAGCAAGGGAGAAGCATGATAGCATTTGTGTTTTTAAATATACTGGGTATTGTGACAACAGTGGAAGCAAGAAAGCGAATGATCTGGGGTAGGTGACGGAGGATGGCAGCTTGATTTAGGTTTGTGGTCAACAGATGAGTGGAAAAGAGATAATATTCAAGGATGTATTTTGAAGGAGCAGTGCTAATGGTACTTTAAAAGAAAAATAAAGAATGACTCCTAGGTGTTTGACTGAACAATTAAATATATAGAGTGTCATTTATTGAGATAGAGAAGATTTGGGGAGGGGCAAATTTGGGGGGAGAACCAATAATTTTATGAGATTACTTACTGGATATGTTGATTCGACAGCTGGAGATACAGACTAGACCAGGGGTAGGTATATGGTAATATTTATATATCAAATTATTCCACCTGCTTGAAATCTTCCAGTCAATCCCCATGGGTTCAAAACAAAATCAAAGCTCCAAGCTCCCTTGGGCTTGGCCCTTTTATGCATCTCAAGCCTTATCACTCATCATCAGATTCATACCACACCAAATACTTTTCTAACAGATTCATTTCTCGTTCTCTCTCATTATATCATCCCCTTTGCTTTGGGTGTCATTTATTGAAATAGATTATTCATTATTCTTCTCTGTTTTGACCTAGCTGACAATTGTATTGTTAAAAACCTAGCCTTCCTTTTGCCATCAGCCATTTACGTCAATCGATATAGCTGATTTTGATGTCCTCTTCATGACTATCATAGTATTATACACATACATCTATGGACTCTAGAACCAGGGTACCCAGGGTACTCCACATTGTTGCATGAACTTGGACAAGTTGCCTAAACTCTTCAAGCTTCAGTTTCTCATCTGTAAAGTGAGAATAATACTACTACCTACATTATAGGGTTGTCAGGGGAATTAACTGAGATGATGTGGGCCATAGTGCTTATGATACTGTCTGGCATAGATGATACGTCTGTATACGCCATTAATTATTATAATAATACTTATCACACTGTTGAGTAATTATTTTCATGTTGTTTTTTCCCAGAAAAATATTAACCCTTGAGCACTTTCATCTGTGCTTCTGGCCCACATTACGCTTCAATAATCGTTTCTACATAAATGAATGAGTTAATGAGTGAAAAGACAAAAACAATAGCATGGGGCTACAATAGTACTATGACATGAACTATCAGGTTCTTCTTAAGTGGGCTTTCTTGATTTAGGAGCTCTCTCTGTGGGTGAAGGTGATTCATCTGATCCATCACTTACTAAACCAAGAAGACTTGGGTTGTTAATCCTACATTATATTTGGTCACAGTTCAGTAAAAATAATATATATATATATACATTTTTATTCTTTAACTGAGGATGTGTTTTTATGTAATTTTTAAAGAGAGAGAGAGAGAGACAGCAATGTGAGAGAGAAACATTGGCCAATTGCCTCTCACATGCACCCTTACCAGGGACAGAACCTGAAACCCAGGTTATGTGCCCTGACTGGGGATCAAACCTGCAAACTTGTGGTGCACTAGACAGTGCTCCAGCTTCCTGAGCCATGTGGCAGGGCAAGGACATCTTCCTTTACCTTTGGATCAGGGAGACACGGTCCAAAAGCTTCCAGGAGAAGAGTCTCTTCTCGCACAGCTTGTTCGTAGTCTGAGAAGGACAGTTTCCCATCATGGTCGTGATCCTAGGGGTGAACATCCATCTGTCAGTCAACATGTCAAATACTTATTGCAAATGCAACTGTCTTTTCATGGTCAAGTGTTCATGGAAAAAGGTATTAGAAAAACGAGACTAAGTAGTAAAATTGGAAAGAACTATCAATAATATAATCAAAGAGCACAATCCCAGTGTTTGATTTCATCCAGCAGTAAAGCCATATTTCTATAATTTGAATTACTGTTTTTATCCCACAACTCGCCTGTAAATTTTAGTATAAAACTCAAAATTGCAAAGATTACCATTTTCTTCAGTGTTATTTCAACCAAATCTTTGATTCCTTCATCGGGGTCTTCTTCAGATGGCTGTTTGAGAAGGCTGTTCTTCAACATGTGGAACATTTCCTCCTTCGAAATGAATCCGTCACCATTGAAATCAAACACTTCAAAGCAGTCTTTAAAAAAAATCCAACTATGAATTTGATACAGTCCATAAGGTAATATTTGCTCTGATAAAGTTTTCAAGGCCAAGGTCTATATTGATGTTCTTATTAATGCTGCAGGCCTCAACACAGCCTAAATTCTAAATGCTTAATGTTCACTTGTTGAATATATGCAACAATTCTTAGAAAAAGTTTCATTGCTCTCGGATATGGAAAAGCATGACAAGAAACAATAACTTGAAAATTTTCATCTTGAAACTCTTGGAAAACTGATCAAAATATATTTTTTTAATTTTTATGTTTTTATTAAAAATTTTAATGTTGACATAATTCTTAAACAAAGTTAATCAAAATTAAGAATTAACTAAGAATCAAAACACTAGAAACAATATTCTCTACTTTCATGGTTATAATTCAAAATATTAAATACATAAAATTCTTAACACCTTTATATGTAAATGCATATGTACATGATTAGCATGTGTAGCGTATGCTTATGCAGTCTTGCTTGATATGAATTACTTTTCAAAACCTCTCGATTTTCCTTCTAATTCATTTTTTTAAACCTTTATTATTGACTTAAATTTGCTCCATAATAGAGGCAAATGGAATTTCAAACCAACCAACTAACCAACAACCTACTTCCCTGGCTGGGTTGGAGGAAATAGATTTAAAACTTTTAGATATGTTAATCAAAATGTGCAAACCAGTAAGATAAACTAAAATGTTACATTTCATTTTTTCTTCCAAAGTTCCTCGAAGAAACAGTGATAATCCACATATCCACTCTGATACGTTTACACAACCATCGTTGTCTTTATCAAAACTTCGGTATACTAAAAAGAAAGAGAAGTAGAATGTAATACTTGTTTGCATTTTAAATCTCAGTAATGTATCTACAGTGGTACTACTCACTTTTAAAATTTAAACAGAACTTCAGGATCATATGGTCCAACATTCTCATTTGACAAAGGAAAAAACTAAGATATCCTTTATTTAAATTTTACACTTTCTCCTCACATTTTGTGAGAACAAAGTAAATTCTGAATATATAAATATACTAATCATTAATTATTAACATAGAAATATGTTGGTATATTAAATACGTTGCTATATTACATATAATATATAATTTTTTACTTTTGTTATCGACAAAAGTAATTGTTTATTACATAATAGGACTATATCTTAATTCTTATTGAAATACTACCAACGATGTAAAGACACTTAAATGTCCTTTTAAAACTATTCTTATATTTCCTAAGAAAAATAGGTTTTCTGATTTAAAGTAAGGGAAATCTAACTATTCAAGCTGACTTTGGCCACTTCTTAACTACACAAAATAGAGTGGATACTATTTCCATCCCTATGGTCTTTTTTCTTAATTGAATTTCTGGAGGTTACTTTAGTTAATAAAATTATATAGGTTTAAGGTACATAATTCTATAATACATCATCTATGTATTATATTGAGGGTGCGTGCACCACCCCAGTCATGTCTTTTTCCATCATCGTATACCCTCCCCTGCCTCCCCACTCCCATTTCCCTCTCCTATGATCATTTTCTTGAATATAAAATTTTTAATTTTATATTCAAATGAAATTGGTAATACAGAACATTAAGCTTTTTAACAACAGTATGTTCAAACTCGAAATGTTTTTTTCAGTTATGGCTGGATTTGTATTTCTTCTCACCTCTGTCCATAATCATGTCATCTGTCATTCCAAATGTCACATGCAAGATGTTTCGAAATGCATTGCGATCCAGTCCAATGGTCACACCTGGCCGCTCTGTGGCATCTCCCACCAAGTTATAAAAAAGATTTATAAGACATTGCACTTCAAATTTGTTAACTGTGAAAGAATAAAGTTAAGATATAATAAAAATGTATTTTAATCTTTAATTTTTAACTTAGATTTTGCATTAATGAATTTATAGACAAATACCATCAAAGCTATCAAATATGTAGTTGTCAAATGAAGACAATCCTGTTATTTTTAAAAATCCTAACCCCAGAATATGTTTTTTTTTTTTTTATTTTTAGGGAAAGGGAGAGAGAGAGAAGAGAGAGAGACGATTGGTTGCCTCCCCTACAGAGCTCCAGTGGGGATCCAAGCACTGTAGGTACTGCTCTGACCTACAGCGTATCAGAAGACTCGCCTTCCAGCTGAGCCGTGGGCCAGGCAGAGGACAGTTTGGTTTTGAGACGCATGACCCTTATGTTCATAGAGGATGGCTACTACAGAGGAGTCTTCACTAACAGGAGAGAAACCCTTCCCTCCAACATGAAACAGATGCTCGTTCAGTTGCACTTAGGAAGGAGAAGACAGTGTTAGCCAAGTTACCTGAATAATGATTGTGGGGCCACATCCTAAACTCTATGGCAGTAGGGACATGATTCAAAGTAAGCATGGTAATGTTTAAGAATGGTAACTTCCCCCCAGCATTTTGATTATAGGCTTTCATGAGCTCTATAACTTGACATTTCCCTGGAAATAGATGCTAGGCTCCTAAAAGTCAGACAACACTTTTATTTCATATTAGTCTTAGTAAATTCATAAGCCAGAGTTTGAAAATAAAAAGCACCCATTTTCAATTTAAAAAAAGCATTTAAGCATATTTTAGCACTACTGTGGTTCTTGTTGCAGATGATAGGAAAATTAACATGCCACAATTTGGTATTACTTTGGATAAAGGCAAATTTTAGTGAAAGAATATACATACACACTTGTATAAAGGGTGGTGTTTATAATCCCTGGGCTAATTATGTGTGTTCCAATCCTAATTTGAGATAAATGAATGGTCACTGCCTAGCATTAAGAGCATAAAAGTGAGTTTAAATATAAATTATAGTTGTAAGATGGGAATGACTTCATTTCTAAACAAGACAGAGTACTTTTTAAAAGAAGAACAAAACCTGTGTGCATGTAAAAGAAGACAGAACATAAAAATGGAGAAGTCATATCCAATCCTACAGGTAGGGACAGGTTTGAGTGTGATTTTTGGTTTGGGATACCAGAATGTAAGAGGAATATTGAAAACCTTAAACAACAAGTGATTTAGAAAATAAATTAAATAGCAGACAAGAGTACAATGATTATAATTTTTAAAAGAGCTATTAGTTGCTGTAGAAAATGGTATATCAGTTTGTAAAAAAAAAAAAAAATTAAACACAGGAATACTATGTAATCCAGTGATTCTACTTCTGGGTATATACCCCAAAGAACTGAAAGTGGGAACTCAGATACTTGTACATTAATATTCATAGCAATAATATTGGCAGTAGCCAAAGATGGAAGCAATCAAGTGTCCATTGATCGGCGAATGAATGGATAAACAAAATGTAGTATATGCGCTCTATGGATGAAACTTGAAAACATTATGATGGGTGAAATAAGCCAAACAAAAAAGAACAAATACTGTGTGGTTTCACTTATATGATATACCTAGAGTGGTGAAATTCATACAGACAGAAAGTGGAATGGTAGTTGCCAAGGGCTTGGGGAAAGGGGAAACAGGGATCTATACTATAATCTGTAGAGTTTCAGTTGGAAAACATGGAACATTCCATGTAGATAGATGGAGATGAAAATGTTGTGCAATAATTTGAATGAACTCAATCCACAGAGTTATATACTTAGAATGCTTAAAATAGTACATTTTAAACTCAGTTTAAAAAGCTCTAAAAGTAAGAAGGCTGTTGGTTGGGGAAAAAAAGCCTACATAAAGAATGACTATACAACATCCCCTTTGCTAGCATTTTATGTTTTATTTTTTCCAACTCAGCTGAAATAAAAAGTAAAGGGATCAGACTAATAAACCTCGGAGGAAGGGGAGTGGAGAGCGGAAAGAGATAAACCAGAGAACTTATATGCACATATGCATAACCCAGGGACACAGACAGCACTGCTGGGGGGGGGGGGGGGCAGGGAGGACAGTGTCAGTGAGGGGGAAAGGAGAAACATCTGTAACAAAAATAAATTCATTGATTTTTTAAAAATAAAAAAATAAAAATAAGACAAAAAAATTATTAAAGAATATCAGCTTAACTTATTACTCAAAAGATCCAAGATTAGCCATAAGAAAACGTTTCTTGCTGAAATGTTTCTTAAATTCTAGAATACAATACTTAATAAAATTAAGAAAAACTCAAGGATGGGATTTCATTTTTTTTGACTGTTTTGACTATTCTTCAGATTGTATCTGCAGAATGGTGGATTAACTAAATGATCACTGAAGATACTTTCTTTTTCTTCTCTGATTCCACAAAAGTTATCTATTCAATCCTAGTAGGGAAAGGTTCTCTGTTTAAAGAAATTTAAAATTATTATAATGTCAATGACTAAAACTAATTCTATAGAATTTAGTAATCATCAAGGTTTTTCAGGCTCACTTTAAAATTTTTATGTTAAGTACAAAAAGAAAAAAGAGTTTCTCCTGCCATGTTTTTATTGATCTTGTAATAGACTCATCCCTTCATTGTTCACAGGATGTCTGCTTGCAATACATTACAAATTTACTGAACAGGGAGTAAATTAAATTCAGCATTGTATAGTGAAGTTATTGCATTTTTATTCAAAATATTTGCAAGAAGTTTTTTAGAAGGTCTGGTCTTCTCCCAGAAATGGAAGCATTTTAAGAAAAACAACAGAACAAAACATCCATCAAATTATAATAACCATAATAATGTCTTAAATTATGGAATGACTATTTTTCTAAGAAGTTTAAGATGCTTATACATACCCCGATCTGTGTTTACAGCACCACTCTACTAAAGAGACTTTCTTATTACTCACTGCATTATGCACAATTACAATGAAAAGGCCCTAGATCCTGTCATCTTTATAACTACATTAAAAAATATTTGTTCCTCCTCCTTTGCACATCGGGGTAGTCTTGGGATTATGGCTTCTTCTATTTGTTCAGGTGGTCAGTAGTTTTGCAATCTGCACACAATTTATAAACTTGCTCATCTGACAATATCTTCGCCTAAACCATATCCTTAGCTTCCTGGCATAGGTACAGGTCTGTTTTTCAGTCTGAATATAATTCTAAAGTTACCTATGAAATTCTAGGATCACCTTTTAGAATGTACAGTTGGAGCAGATATGTTTAATAGCTGCTCATCTGGTCACCTGCAAAGTCTCCTTTGCCTTGTGACCCAACCAGCAACTGGAACGAGGAAATCTAGAGTTGGGAACAGAGTCTTTACCGTTTGTTTAGCTTTGGTGAGATTTTTGGTTCGTTTCCTCCTTGCTCTGATACAGGTTTCTTTCCTAAAGGTGCTTAGTCTTTGATAACCGTTTCCCCTCATGGGTCTCTTGGTAAGCATCCAGAATTGGATCCTGACAGTTTATTTGCTCTAGAAAGCCAGAATGCAGGTGTATGTTGGCTGTGCTCCTTTTCTTGAGTGCCTGGTTTTTAGTACTTATTTTACACCTCTGTCTGAGGTTAAAACCACATGTGTCCCCTAGGTACATAAATCATGTTTCTATAATGTAAAGGTAAATTATTAAGAAGAGCACCTGAGAAGCAAGTAGGTGTACTTGTGGGAGGGCAGTACCAGATGCCTAGACACCTGGATACTGATCCTTAAGATCATTGGCAGCCACAAAGCTAACACCCAGGTACTCTCCTGCAGACTTCTCTTTGGGGTGCTGGAGGGGGCTCCATGGACCCTAAGGCATGGAGGTAGAAAGCTGGTTGGGCAGAAAATTTTAGCACAGGGTAGGGCACCAAACCTGGATCAGAAACCTCAGATAGTCCAGCACTTGGTTCTTACTTACAATGCTTGCAGTTTTTGGTTAAAGTGTCCGTCAGCTTCTGCAACTTCTTGCGGTTCATGCCGGGCTCTCAGGGAGTCGGGCAGCGGCGGGAGTCCAGGGGCGCGTGGCTGACGGGACCCTCTCAAGCCCTGGGCCTGGGGAAAGCGGCCAGGTCTCCATGGCCAGGTGCCTGTGGGGCTCTAACACACAAAGTGGCCATGGCAACGCCCTGGCCGGCTGCTGATTGGTTCCCTGGTGCGTGCACCGTCCTAACACACAACGTGGCCATGGCAACGGCTGGGCCAGTCGCTGACTGGCTCCTGGGGCTGGGGCGCGCAGTCCCCTTGGAGGGTCCTGGCCAGGCGCATTGCGGACTGTGTTCTGACTGACGTCGGGATTCTAATTTTTCCGTTGTTGCTAGCTTTGGGGTTCAGAGCCCCTTTGATGGACTGCACTGTGACTCATCAAGGTCTAAAACATGCTGTGCGCGCTGTGTAAAAGGTGTTTGGGGTGGTGAGTGCTGCGCTAAGGACGTTTAGATCTTCAGGGAGATTTGGGGAAGTGGAGCAGCCTCGAGAATTAGCAGGTGTATTATCCAGACAATTGTTTTATGGGGTACAGAAGGGTGAGAAGAACTTGAAGCAGATTTTTGTCTTACCATCCCCCCCCCATTTATTCTTAGAGGTGGGGGGGGGGCTGTCAGTGGAATCTGGGAAAAATTACTGGCAATTTTTAAGGTAGTTAAAAAGGCAGGCTTCCCAATAAAGAGGCTGACAACTGCCACTTGTCTTTGGGGTACAGCCCAACCTTGCTTTTCTGAAAAATATCCCTTTAAGTAAAATTGATCCTTTACTTATTTGAAAGGTCTTGCGACAGCAGACAAAGAATAGTTCTTACATCTTTAATGTGGGAGGACATTCTACTCTTCTTAACCACAGATGGAACAGCCTCTTTGAATTAGGACAACAATAAATGGGTTCACTCAGCCAGGAGTACAAAACCCACAGTATTCTCTACTTGTCTAACTTCAGAGGGGAAAATACCCTTGAATACAAATTATTTTATAGTATACATATGGTCATTGTAAGGCTGTAAACAGAAAAATTCTGCCAACCATGAGTAACAATCCAAAATAAAATAGTTTAAGTAGTCCCTGATTTTCTTTCTTTGTTTTATTTGTTTGTTGAATAAAGAATCGGGATTCTGTTGACACCAGAGCTGAGGATGCTTGGTGGAGGCAGGAACTGTATTATCCTAAAGACAATTTCCTGAGAACAGTTAACCAATACAAAATGATAATGATTGTGCCTTTCCAATAGTTTTCTGGTTAAATAGTATTCCTGTATGTCTTCTTGTCTAACAGCTGTGACATTTCTAATGAGGTGGCAGAAAACAACTAGGAAGAACTGGACATATCTAATTACACTCACCTGTGAAACCATAGTGGCTTGTAGCACATATTTAAGACATAGAAGTTGTTGCAATGTTCATTTCCAAAGACACATAGCCAAAAGAGAGGTGGTGGTAGTTAAGGGAAGCCGTGGGCCCCACCTGTTTCTGCTAGTGGGTCTATTAAGAACCTTCTACAAGGTTTTCTGAAGGGGCACCCTGATGGCACAGGAATCTGCTGGGGGGTCACATTGCTGGGCCTGTTCAGGCATCTCTGCACATGCACTGGGATCTTGTTCGGGAACACCTAGGGATGAACTAAACAGTTCTTAATTCACAAGCTTCAGGCCTAGGACGCATCAACCATGTTCCCTTGAAGTGGGAAAAAAATGAAGTAAGGACAGTACCACAGAAGTTTGAAAGTATGAATCAAATCTGCCTTGGCCGGTGAGGCTCAGTTGGTTGAGCGCCAATCCTGGGTATGGGATCTGTGTATGATCTCTCTCTCTCTCTTTCTCCCTTCTGCTGTCTGTAAGTCAACAAAAGCATATTTTTAAAAAAGGATCAAATCTGTTTTACCAAGCAAAATTACTTAACTAGCTAGGAAAACTTTGTGACGTACCCTCTTTCCATTCCTCCTCCTTCCCATGATTTTCTTCCATGCTATTCTTTTAGCAGGAATTTTCCAAATGCATTGTTATATAAAACTCACTACAGAATGAACCTTCCTATGAGGGATTATTACCTTCTCAGGCAAAACAAGGTATTTATTAAGGGCATGTTTTGTTAACATATTGCTAAACTTCAGAGCTTTCCTTACATTTTCGTGAAGCCTTTGAACTCAGTATTTTCAGACTTTAGAGACAAGTGGTTGGCCTGATGGAGTGAGCTAATCACATTTTAAGGCAAATTGAAATTTCTATTCGTAGTTTCTAGTTTCTTGTGTTGCGTAGACATGGGGTTGCTTTCCCCAGGGGCTTTTGCAGAGTAAGGCAATTAAGCCAGAACAGTTACCTCATATCAAATCAATCAATGATGGAATAATACAAAACTGTGTTTAATTTGTACTGTACACAAATTTCACTATGCATGGAATGATCATAGAACTTTTCAAAATTCAAGCAACTTTGAGATGGATACATTTGTAAATAAAAAGTACACAAAAATAACTATTAATGCTATAAGTGTTTCCTTTAATTTTGTGTGCAAAACAATCTTCCTGTTGACTCACAATTAATTGGAATTTTGCCATGAAAAACAGTTTGGACCTTGAATTGATGAAAGTGTTTTATTTAATGTGAGCCCTTTATGATAAAGGCATTTGGAAGCTGTTTAGGAAATGAAATCATAGAATTGATTTCCAAGTATATTACAAACCTATTATGAAATTACTTTAATAAAAGAAAAATATAAAGATTACGTACCTACATAATTTAAATTCAATTTTACCAATTTTATTTTGTAGAAATAGTGATGAGAAATTATGAGGTGATTTCAGCCAGTTACTTGAGAGGTTGACTCCCCATTACCTTCTCTACCACTCCCCCCTGGCTGCTATGCTGAAGTGACCTTCAGCTTCCAGTACCCCACCGCCTCTCCTGGGGCTTCTGTACATTCTTCACCCATCCCCAGAGGAAACTCTTCAAAGAGCTTTTTGCTTCCCCTATAAAGGGAATCCTTCCACACCCTGTGGCCTTTCTCTGCCTCCAGACCATTCTTTCCAGCGCTTGCCCCAGGGAGAAATAGCTTTCTTTCTCTAACCTCTCCTCCCCACTGGGTTGTTGATTACATCTTCTCCCTCTCTCTAGCTCTCGCTCACATTCTCTCTCTTCCTGTGTTTATGTCTATTTGTATCCCTGTATCTATCACCTGTCTTCCTATATGCCTCTGCAGTTTGACAACACAGTCCACTTTCTATTGTCTGTATTAAGGGAGAGTGGTGGGAGAACTCACCTGAGCAGGGATGGTCCCCCGTGTCATCCCGCTGTGGAAAGTCCTGTGAATACATAGCAGGGCCCTTAAAGGAGGATAAGCACTAAAGGAGAACTTTTCCCAAAATATACCCTCAATTTTCACTGGTGTTAACACTTTGCTACATAATATATATTTTTAACCATAATCAAGAGACTGGTCAAGTAAATGCCTGTTTTACTAAGGACAGTAGTATAACTTACCTGTAATTTATGCAGTTGTAAATTAAGATGTGGCATGTGATAAGTAATTAATGTGATGGCAATGATGTCAGCGGGTTGAGAAAGGAAGCTGCTTGTCCAGGCCTCAAGGAGATGACCCAGAAAGCCTGTGGAACCCTCTGGGCTCCTTCCCACTGAGCGCTGGGTCATGGGGACTCACAGGTAGGTCGGGGCAGCTGCCCGAGCTGAATAACTACCATGAGGACAGGAGACACTACCCCTTTCCAAGGGAGCCCAGAGCTCCGAGTAGCATTCTGGCAGGAGCCATGGCCGGCTGCAGCAGGCACACACCTCCTACACAGAACTGAACCAGGCTCCACCCGTCAGACCATGCCTGGTGCTGCCAAGACGCCTGAGCCCATGCTGGCCAGAAAAGGGCAGAAACCATCAAAACACTTGGGACAAGGCCCTTGTCACCATGTTGCTCACCTCCATTATTGTTTTACCACTCAGAGAATGAAAGCTCCCAGAATTGCCTTTCTCCAATCATCCTACCCCAGTATGAGACTTTATTCCTTAGCCTAGATGTCTCTAACCCCTTGACTATACCCAGAAAATTCTTTTCGAATTGTGAACATTACCTTACATGATCCATCGTTTCATAGGGCTTCTCTATGCTTTCTTCTCTGAAACCTACTTCTCTCCTAAAAACACTGCTTCTTCTGTGATTTTTCACAAAAATGGCTACTTATTTTCTACACACACAGCCAGAAGGAAATCAAAATCATCTTGACCTTGTATCCCATTTACAGTACCGTATTAGCTCTATCTTTTCTTCTCATCCACCTTCTCAGAAAGTGTAGGCATGCTCGCTACCTTAGCTGCTGCACCTCCTGCTTTCTCCATCCTTTTTGCCCACGCCTAGCCCCTGCATTAGCCTCCTGGCTTCCATCTGATCTTTCTGTAAGCCATCCAAAGGAGTGCCAATGTGATTTAGCTAAAACACAAAGCCAACTATGTCTTTCTTCTGCTTAAGATTGAAATGCTTTCTTGCTGCCTGCAAGATATATGCAAGCCTCTTAGTCTAGTTTCTACAGTTCTCCATGGCCTGGCCTCTGCCTGGCTTGTAAACCTCTTCCCTAACCAGCTCCTGTGTATTTAATGGCTGGAGCTCCAGCAGCCATTTTAGACCATGAAGTTCACTGAGGGCTTGGACCCATTCAGAGTGAAGGGTACACTAAAAGGTGCTGTTTCTCCTACATATCCAGACACTCCTAGAAAGGGATGGGAAATAAGCTACTGTCTCCTTTATCCTATTGGTATTTGAGAGTTTTCAATTACTTTCAGTTACACCTAATCTTACAAACACAATCTTTAAAGTGAAAAAATTGAACTTATTTTCTTTTAGTCCTTCCGACTTTAGGGTTCTTGAAAACAAAACTAAAGTTGATAGGATATCGATCAATTCTCATGGCCTCTTCACTAGGTTGAACCTTGTAAAATGTCAGCAGTTGCCCATTTTTGACCTATAAAACCATGCAATTTCATATCAACCCAA